AGCAGGGATTTACACCCAGAGGAGGGAACAGCAGACAGATTTTGGATTAAAAAAAAAAAATTCACTGTCGCAGAACCTCCCCCATTGGAATAAGATGGGCTTTTGTTTGTGGGGTCTGAAGTTTCTTTAGTGATTGCAGATAGAGTATCCCAAAACAGATGTAGTCTTGTTCCTTGAAATAAGACTTGATGGATGGTAGAAAGCAGCAGGGCCCGCTCAGAGGCGATCACCCTGTTCAGTTTCCTTACAGATGCTGTATCCTGTTAGAAACCTGTCCAGGAAGCTGCCTTGCCTCTTTCTACCTCTGTCTCCCCTTCCTTCTCCCAGAAGTCTCAGGGAGCGCCTTTTCCCGTGCCCCATCGTGGACTAGATGAATAGACAGGATCTGCCAGGGTCTGGCCAGTTGCCTGGTTGGGTTAAGATTCTCCTGTTGTGTCACTGAGGACTCAGAACACCTCACTGTGAGATTCTGGGAGGGAATAAGGACCAAGAGAGGAGGAACTCTTGTGAAGAATTGGTCATTGATGGAGTTGCCTTTCCCAGTGGCATCCTATTGCTCCCTTGGGTTTAATAATGCAGGGTACTGTAATGGCAGGTTGGATGCAGGCTGGGAAACGATACTTTAGGCTCTACATTGTCTGTTAGATATGGGAGCCTTTGAGAGCCTGCTCTCTAAAGCTGAGGTGGCCCCAGAACAGGGGTCAGCACACCACAATCCATGGGCCAATGCTGGCCTCCATCTGTTCTTGTAAATAGAATCTTATTGGAACATCGCCACACTCGTTTGTTGGAATATTGTCCTTGGCTGCTCTTGCAGTACAATGGCAGAGTTGAGTAGCTGCAACAGAGACCCCATGAAGCCTGCAAAGCTTGAAATACTTATCACAAAGCCCTTTAACAGACAAAGTTTGCCAACTCCTCATCTAGAGAATTCTGGCTAGGAGGTTTGTTCAATCTCACTTTCCTTGGGTCCTGTGATCCCAAACCCATGGAGGCTTTGCACAACAATTTGATGGGAATAACCTTCCAAAAGGGGAGGGAAATCTGTAATTAATTTCATGGGTCGCACTCTATCTAGGCTTGGAGTTCTACTGCTCTTTGCAGGACTGTGAGCCCTGGAGCTGGGAGGGTGTGGTGGCCCAGAGAGTTGACTTACAGTTCAGAGCGGCAGTTGCTCTTTGCTCCTTAGGATATGGCCAGCAGTCTGAGAAGCAGAGGGCCAATCAATGACTCCTTGATGCTTCAGGACAAGACCTGGCCTGTACACAGATACTCTCAACAGTAAGGAGGGTGTGGAAGCTGTGCCACTTGTGCTTTTCAAAGATGGCCTGAGCAGAATCTTCTGTACCATGTGCTATTTTCCTCCTCCTTCAGCATGGGCTTCTCTTATGACTGCTGGAGCAGAGGAAGTGATGCAATGGAACTTCTGGACACTAAGATGTCTTGTAACTTCCATCTGGTCTCTTGGAGTACTCGCTTTTGGCACACTTCTCATCACCCAGCCACCATGCTCTGAGAAGCCCAAGTCACATGGAGAAACCATGTGCAGGGACTGCTGTTGACTACTCAGCTCAGTTCCTAGTCAGGTATCAGCATCAGCTGCCACCAAGGAGGTGAGTAGTTCTCTTATATGATGGCTCAGTGGATTTCCCATGACTCCATGTGTCTATTATAATCATGTGAGAACTACCTAGCTTGGGTCCAATCAACTCCAGAGTCACAAGATGTAATATAAGTGGTTGTTTAAGACTTAAACTTTGGGGCTAGAGAGATGATTTAGTGGTTAAGAGCATATACTGCTCTTGCAGAGGACCTGGGTTTGGTTCCCAGCACCCACATGATGGCTAATAACTGTTTGTAGTTCCAGTTCCAGGGGATCTGATACCCTTTTCTGGCCTCTGGGGGCATTGCATGCATGTGATGCACTTACATACATACAGGCAAAACACTCATCCACATAAAATAAAAATTAAAAAATAAAAAAGACTTAAACTTTGATATAGCTCAATTGGGGAAGTGCTTGTCTAGAAAGCATGAAGCCCTGGGTTCAGCCCTCAGCACTGCATGAAAATGGACACTCAGGAGGTAGAAGCAGGAGGATGATCACTAGTTCAAGGTCATTCTTGGCTTTATAGTATGTTTGAGACCAGTCTGGGCTACATGAGACATTGTTCCAAAAAATTAAAATCTTAAATTTTGAGAAAGTCTGTGGGAAGCAGGAAGTTGATGTCTGACAAAACTGTTGCTAGGTGGTGATGAAAATGAGTTTGGGTTGCACCTATCCATCTATCTGTCTTGGTTACTAAGCAATGAGAGATGACCAAAACAGGCATGGCAATGTGGCTGAGGTGGGGTAAATGACTGTGGTCATCTGGTCATGTCCAGGTGGGTTCCACTCCATCGGAATGCTACTTGTAGGAGTTTGACTTTTCCCTTCTGTGCTTCAGTGTCTCTTTTTTAGAGGAGAACCACCACCCACTCCCTAACTACAAAATACAAATCAAGAAGGCATCTTTTTTGAGCCAACAACATGCCAGTATTCAAGAATTCTCACAGCTGCCTTGTGAGATTGATATTGTCCACCTTAAAGATAAGATAAAACAGGCTCAAAAGAGATAGATGGATGACTGTGTCAGCATCATCCAAGAAGCAAGTGGCAAGACCAGGATGTAAACTCAGACCTCTAGTGTATGTTGACATTCATTGATATTGACAATTTCTATAGCTCCTGGAAAAATAATATAGTAGATTATGAGTGCTAAGTGAGTCACAAGACTTGCAATGTTTAGGTATTGCTTTTATAAAATATTTATTTGTTTTTATTTTATGTATGTATTTGCCTGCATGTTTATATATATACCATGTGTGTGCCTGGTGCCCTTGAAGGCCAGAAGAGGGCACCATATCTTCTGGCACCTGAGTTACAGATGACTGTGAGCTGCCAAGTGGGTGCTGGGAACCAAAACCCAGTTCTCTGTAAGAGTAGCAAGTGCTCCTAACCACTGAGCAATCTCTTTTTAGCTCCCCATTTTTAACTTAAAAATATTTTATTATTTTTAGTTCATACGTATGAGTGTATTGCCTGCATGTGTGTAAGTGTATCCATGTTGTGCAATACCCACAGAGGCCAGAAGAGAGCATCAGATCCCTTGGAACTGGAGTTATGGATGGTTGTTAGCTGCCATGTGGGTGCTGGGAACTAAACCTGGGTCCTCTGCAAAAGCAGCCAGTGCTCTTAACCACTGAGCCATCTCTCTGTTCTTAACTTTCAAGTGCCTAAAATATTAAGTGGTTATATGTTCACAACAACCCTATAGGGTTGTGTATCTGCATTCTATAGATGAGGGAACTGAGGCACATTGAGGTTGAGTAACTTACCCATAGTTCACACAGGTAGTAACTGGTCACCAACTGTCAGAATAGATTGGCCTACACTGCATAAACAAATCTCTCTCTCAAATCTCAGTGATCTAATACAATGAAGTTTTATTTCATACTCGTTATTTATATAAGAAGCTCCATTCTCTATTCCATACTGTCACTCAGACAACAGGTGGATGGAGAAGCTGCCTTATTGCAGTTTCACTGTTTAGATGTAGAACATTAGGAAGACAGAAGCTGGGGGCCGTGAAGGATTCATTTAATTGCCCCAGGCTAAAAATAATGCACGCAACTGCAGGTTGTTGCCTGGAGTTAGTTACCTCTGGCTGGCTGTCTGGTTTAGGCCTCTGGGTGCCTAAAAGGAGAACAGGATATGGGTGAACATTAGCAATCTCTACTATAGGAGTTTGGGCCAAGACTTGAGTCTTCGGAATCTGTGTTCTTCATCCCCCTAGGCTGCATCTGTAACGGTCATTCCTTTATCCAGTGCCTGAAAACATCAAGTGCAATCTCCTCTTTATTCAGAAGGATTTGAGTGAACTCTGAAACTGGAGTAAAGTGCCACAGTGTGCTTTTGAAGTTGGGTTGCTTGGCTCCCCTGGGGTAGTAGAAATGTTAAGTTTTGATATGCTCATTGGGTGGCCACAGACAGGTAGGTCACTTAACCCCTCTAAGCTTCCATTGACACTTACTGGGAAAGTATCTGCAGAGACTTAATGTTACTTCTTTTGTCCCCCTTTCTCTTGTCCCTGCACTTTACTGCCCATTACTATGGCATATAGACCAGCCAGACCTTCAACTTATGGTAGAAAGAATGTTTTGAAGGACCAGTTTCCAGGCACAGGATCACTGTGCCCTGACTGCCTTCTTGTCATTCTTCACATATTTCCTTGAAGTTCTGTGCATCTCCTCTTCCCGTGTCTGTCTCCCTATACATTGGAGAATAGTTCCCATCATTTCCATTATGAAGCCCCCTTAACTCCTGCCTCCCTTGTAAATATCTTCCCAGCTTTATTAGAGGGAGTGGTGTAGTGTTTTCCGAACCTCACCCTGAGGAACTGTCAATCTCATGCTCTACTCTTGCACAGTATAAAGGACACGAATCCTTCTTCACATGCATAAAGCAGTAAGAACTGTAGTTATCTTCAGTTACAGGTTGCAATGCCAAGCTGATTATTTCATTTATTCTTTGCAGTAGCCCTTGGAAACAGGTACTAGTATTACCAACTACTGATTACAGATGAGGAAACAGATGTTCAGAGTTGGATATGGAAGCCCCAAAGCCCTTTCTCCTAGCTCCTCTGCACCTACACAGCTCATATTCTCATTCTTCCTCTTTTCCGTTGTGTCCTTTCCATCTGGTCCTTTTACAACTATCCAACTTGATCCAGCAGTTTCTAGAGGACAGAATCTAATGAACAGTTTCTAGGGGACAAAGCCCAATGTAGTATCTGGGAAGAAGCACAGATTAAGCTTTTCTAAGAAAGAAGAAGATGGTCATTGGATCAAGTGTGCAGCCTTGGCCTTAGCACAGTTTCCCTTCTCCACAGTGATGTTCTGTGGGCATCCATTGTGGTGTTTCTAACCAAACTGAGTCACCAATATTCATTTTGTTCCAGGACTTACCAAGGAGGAGGTGGTGCCCAGTTCCAGAGGATGACAGAGAGATTACAGGACAAGGCATGGCCCTACCCTTTGTGCCTCTTCTCTTCTTCTTGAAACAGTAACAACTTAAATTAGAACGTACCACATAATAAAAGAAAGTGTGTAACTTGTGCACACAAAATAATTTCATGTGCTACCAAAGAGGGATATATGGACATGGTATTATATGACATTATATGATATGATTCCCCTATTCTATCACATAAAAAGATTCTCAACTTCATTAATCATCAGAATAATACCCCAAATGAGATACAACTATGTATCCATCAGGAAAGACTGAAAATTCCAACTGGTGGCAGGGACAGTTACCTTTATGTATTGCTGACAAGAGCATAAATTCATACATTTACTTGGCAAAACTTTTTGACTATACCTGTACATTGAACATAAGCATTCTCTATGACCCATAGAAATTCTATATCCAGGTGTACATCCATATTAGTTATTTTTCTTACTGCTGTAATCAAATACCTGAAAAGAAGTGACTTGGAGAGGAAAGGTTTATTTTAGCTTGCAGTTTGAAGGGAAACAGTTCATCATGGTGAGGAAGGCATGGTGGCAGGAGTGTGTTGGCTGGTCTCATTGCTTCCACAGGAATGCAGCAGAGAGATAACAGGAAGTAGGGCCTAAGTGTAAAATCTCAAAGCCTGCTCACAGTAACAGTGGCCCACTTCCTCCAGGAAATATCTACCTCCCAAGGGCTTCACAATCTTCCAAAACAGCTTCACCCTCTGGGGGCAAGTTTCAAACACATGAACCTCTGGGGACATTTCACATTAAAATCACAAAATCCAAAAGAAATATGTACACATGTTCAACAAATGATGTGTTCCATGTTCTAGGAAGTTTGTGAAGTTGCTGCTTTTTAAAAAAATTTGGTGTGTGTGTGTGTGTGTGTGTGTGTGTGTATGCTTTTAAGTGCCTATGGAGGCCTCAAGAGGGTGTCAGATCCCCTGGAGCTAGAGTTCCATGTGGTTGCCAGCTGCCCAACATGGGTGCTAGGTACCAAACTCTGGTCCTCTGCAAAAGCAACTAGCACTCTTAACTGCTGAGCTCTCTCTCCAACCCCAGTTGGTCCTTAATAGTGAAAAACTAGAAATGAGCCGTGTGCCCATCAACAATAGAATGGCTGAGTAAATTGTGGTGTATCCAGACCATGAAACACTACTCACTGATGCAAAGGAATGATTTACAGCTTCATGCTAGAATAGGAGTTAACCTCTCATTCATAATGCTGAGCAGAGAAGGACAAAAAAGCTAAAAACCAAGACTGCACACTGTGTATTTTTACTTACATAAAACTGCAAAACAGGCAAAATTCATCCAGGTTCATCAAAATACAGGTAATGTTTACCCTTGTGAACAACGGTGGTAAAACCTGGAAGGTGCATCATGGAGGGTTCTACACGATGCTAATTAACGTTCTCTTTCTTGGTCTGGGTGCCTGTTAAATGTTATGATCACTTTGTAAATATCAAGTTTGTTATACGTGTATTTTTGGCTTGCATATTATAGTCCAATAAAACGTTTAGAAATATATTTCCTTTCTGATGACTTGGTGAAAAATATCTCAGTGTGGGTCTGGTTGGCCATTTAGTACTTTTCTCATCCAGAGGAGGGTGTTCCACCATCAGAGGCATCAGCAAGTAACGTATCCAGTTTGAATTGTTTTACTGTGTTTATTTTTATGGTTACCATCTGTATATGGCTATCCTTACTGGGTTTCCATTTATGGTAATGATATAGAGTTTCCATTTAAAATAGCCTCAAGTTAAAAAAAGTGAATTAACTTACATTAAAAATTATGTCTAAGTAATAGTACAGATGGTACTTAGTTAACGGTAAATCATGAAAGGGTGGTGTTTGTACAATATTGTTCAATGGAAAAAAGCAAGAATTTGGGGGCTGGGGGGAGGCAGCTCATCATGTTTCCATCTTTACACCAGTCCACACTGCCCAGCACATACAGGCTGTCAAGTGGAAGAACATGTTGTTTGTAGACGTCTCTTGAGAAATTTAAAGAAAATTTCCAGGAACAATGGACAAAGCGTGAGACTAGGAGTGGAAACCTTGGGTTCACTCAACACACATGACTAAGGAGTCTCTGTGTGCCAGACACTGGTCTAAGCCTTGAGCCTTGACCACTTTGCTCAAGGCTCAGAACAGCTAGTTACTGGCTGAATCAGTATTCAGGGGAAGGCAGGGGAAGTGTGCATTTATGTGGATTTCTGAATAACGAGAGAACCAAGGCTGCATAACCAAGTGTGACTGTGACTACATAGGATAAAGAAAAGAATGTCTATTCTCAGTAAAAAATCTAACACTTGCATCTCCTTGAGCTGTTTTTATTTGCACTTTAGCATACAAAATAATTGTTCTGCCCTTCCACATGCCAGCAGACAAAGAGGTGGTGGTACCAAAGTTCACCTTCCTAAGCAGCAGCTTGAGATGTCCCCAAGTCTTGCTTCCCCAGCCCACTTTTTGTTTTTTCCAGACAGGATCTTGTTATGCAGCCCAGGCTGGCCTTGAACTCTGGATCTCCCTGCCTCAGTCTCCTGGAAGCTGGGATTACAGGGGTGCACCGTCGTACTCTGTGTCCTGCTTCCGAAATGGTTGCTGACTCCATTTTTAAAAATTCCCTTACTGTTCCTTTCATTACAATTTCCCTTATTTCACTACAGGTGTGCTGTAACTCAAGCCTCACTGGCAGTTGGCCTTTCTAAGACTCTGAGGCTCATGGGGGATGAGGGAGGGGGAGGAAAGGACTTAGATAAGGTTGCTCTTGGGGTGTGTGTATATTTGGGGTTCTGGAGAGTAAATTTGGCCTATTATCATAGGCGCTAGAAGAAAGGAATCAGATTCATTAGAGAAATTCTAGCTGGGCATGGTAGCTCATGCCTGTGATCCCAGCACTCTAGAGGCTGAGGCAGGAGGATTGAGTTCAAGGCCAATGTGGGTTTACTTACCCTGTTCTCTTCTATTTGAAGAGGCTTGCACAAAGCTTCCAACAAGTTATTTATCTCACCAAACTCTTCCCCCATAAGTCTTCCCCTCAGAGTTTCTTAAGATCAGTAATTTGCCTTCTGGGAGGCATGGAACTTACCCTGTAGGGTCAGGTGGACCCAAGAAGTAGTAGTCCTTGAATTGAACCAAATAGGCTCTGAGCCCCAAAGATCTGGTCAGGGGAGGGAGCTAGCACACTGAGCCCATCTCTCCAATAAAGGTCTCTGTTAAGGTCTCAGGGAGATAGGTAAATAATTAAGGCCCACTCCAGGCTGGAATGATAGAATTGGGGGCAGCTTGACTGGATGACTTAGTAAATTAAACAGAACAATAGAGGCTGTACTAGTCCTCTGTGTTACTGGAGATAGCCCTAATCCAGCCCTGTGGTAGGGCTTTCCCTCACACCTGGGGGGTCTCTGCAGCCAGGTGTCTTGAGGTGAATGTCTCAGGATTTATGGCTGGTGGACCAGGTCGCTATGTCTCTGTTAAGGTCTCAGGGAGATAGGTAAATAATTAAGGCCCACTCTAGGCTGGAATGATAGAATTGGGGGCAGCTTGACTGGATGACTTAGTAAATTAAACAGAACAATAGAGGCCATACTAGTCCTCTGTGTTACTGGAGATAGCCCTAATCCAGCCCTGTGATAGGGCTTTCCCTCACACCTGGGGGGTCTCTGCAGCCGGGTGTCTTGAGGTGAATGTCTCAGGATTTATGGCTGGTGGACCAGGTCGCTAAGGGATTTAGAGGGCAGAGCTCAGGGAGGTGAAGGGGGCAGGCTTATCTGTGACTAGAAATTGCACTCCAGGTTTTCATCTGTTGTAGCCATGAATTTAGGTTTGAGAAACTGCAACAGTTACTAAGAGGTGCTGTTTAGGACAGGCCTGGTCTAGAGAATTTCCTAGGGACTCACTCAAGGTCACCGTTTATAGCAACAGGAGGACTGTGGGGAGCTGGTGTGAGCGCTGACTTGAACGTCAGTACTGTGCCTTTGTGTTTCCTCAGCTGTCAGTCCAGTGCCCGCCGCAAGGGAAGTGCGCAAACTAAGTCCTTCCAAACTGAACTAAAAGACAAGAGACAAAAGCACCGGCTCTTTCCCACTCCACGCCTATTCTACCCACGCTTACAAGTTATTCTTACTCTCCTGGAACCCGCGAGCCCTGGCTGGAAGAGTGCAGAGGGATGTGACCAGGGAGGAGCAGAGGACCCGCAGGATCCCGGACCCACATAGGGTGGGCGAGTGGGCGTGTGCGCAAGCACGTGCCCGCGCACAGGAGCGCCTTGGGGAAGAAGGGGGTGGTCTTCCAAAGGGGGAGGGGAGAAGGCAGGGGGCGGGGAGAAGCAGGCTTTTTAGGACCCGGCAGAGGCAGGGGAGGAGAAACAAGGCAAGGAGGCGGCTCCCGCGTACGCAGGGCCGCGCCACCTGCCCGCTTGCTAGCCGCTCTCGCGCTGCCCACTAGCCAACATGCTGCCGAGACTGGGCGGCCCCGCGCTGCCGCTGCTCCTGCCGTCGCTGCTGCTGCTGCTGCTGTTGGGCGCGGGCGGCTGCGGCCCCGGGGTGCGCGCCGAGGTGCTGTTCCGCTGCCCGCCCTGCACGCCCGAGCGCCTGGCCGCCTGCGGCCCCCCACCCGATGGGCCCTGCGCCGAGCTGGTCCGGGAGCCCGGCTGCGGCTGCTGCTCCGTGTGCGCCCGGCTGGAGGGCGAGGCGTGCGGCGTCTACACCCCTCGCTGCGCCCAGATGCTGCGCTGCTATCCCAACCCCGGCTCCGAGCTGCCCCTGAAGGCGCTGGTGACCGGCGCCGGGACTTGCGAAAAGAGTCGCGTCGGTACCACTCCACAGCAGGTTGCAGGTAACGCAGATTGCGACCTCTCATTGGAGGGCAGCGGGGCAGCCGGTGCCGGTAGCTGGGGAAGGAGAGAACGACGGGACCCTAGGGACTGTTTTAGGGGAGAAAGAGCCGGTCCTTGACCAGATGCAGGGGGATGGTTGAGAGCGGGAACCCAAAGGCAGACTCCGGGAGGGAGGCAAGCGGCATTTGGTGGGTCACTAATTCGGTGGGATGGATGAGGAGGGGAAAGACAGACATCCTTATCACGGTGCTGTTCCCGGGTGGAACGTACCCCCACTTGTACTCTGAAGGGGGGACATCCCTGGGGTGGGGAGTGTTGGTCAGATCCGGGGCTGGGGCTATAGGAACTTGACGCTTACTTGACACAAAATTTGAGCAAATGACCACCGGACGAATGGTCCTCGGTGCGATCGCTGCTGAGAGACTGAGGGCCACTGGGTGCTGGTGACACCACGGAGCGCATGGAGGGACCCCTTCCTTGTGGTGCTGTGAGGTGAGAAGACTGGGAGTTTTCTAAGGGTGAGTTGCACGTGGAGAATGGAGGGGACTCAATCTGTGTAACTTAAGCTGCTTTCCCGGTACCCTGGCAGCCAGGCGGTGTGGCTTAGCCTCTGGGCCCCAGCTCTTAAGGCTGGAGGAGTCTGGGCGCGGGAAGCAACGACTCTTAACGTGGGTATGCGTTGACCCCATCCTTCTCCTAAATCTAGGGAACTCCTCCTGTCCCACAGAATGGGCAATTTGGGACTATTTGTTAAGGAACCCAACTGTTTTACAAAAGTTAACTTGAGGGACACAACCAGGCTGAGAGGCGTTCACTTTTTCCCTCATTACAAAAGCCTCCTGCCCTCTTGGTCTGCAGGACGCTGTAATTGTTTCCTTTTCTCTTAGGGACAGTGCTGAAATGTATCCACTATTCCCTGATGTCTTAAAGGAGAATCTGATCAAGTTTCTCAAACGGGGGTGGGGTGAGGGTGGTGTGTGTGTGTGTGTGTGTGTGTGTGTGTGTGTGTGTGTGTGT